TAATCTTTAATGTCTCTCTATTGTTATCCAGGCTTGAAGAGTCACAAAATGACAAAACAGACACAGAATTTTCAGGAAGATAAATACAGCTAAACTACAATAAAATTTAATTAATTGAAACAATAACCCAGGTGTGTTAGAATGGTTCGTTTTTGGCTTTCTGGACACTTTTCAAAGCTTTTCTTCAGGCTTCAGCTGCTTTCCTACCTGTCAGCAATAAATATTTAAGAGTGAATCATAAGCAATGTGTGGGGTGAAGATACAGAAGCCAAGAGATGCATCAGTCTTCCACTGATCAGCTACACAACATCAGGTTTTCCACTATTAGCGCTTTGAGAATCACCTGGTGGTTTTAAAATATCTTTTCATATCTGTCAAACTGTTCCATTTCTGTACTTTTATAAGTAGACTCTACCAGAGTAATTTAACATATCTCGATTTTCTCAGCAATATAAACTCTGACTCAGCAGCTGCAGCGGGATATGCTGGATGACAGCTAGGAGAACAGAACTCTCCTCAGCCCTCTGCACAAAACGTCAATGGCAATAATTTCATTGCTAATAAAAATGATAAAGCTTCAGGAGCTGAAAACAACGTGGTTTAGCCTCAGGTGCAGGAGAAAATCAACCAGACGAAGAAGTTGTTCTTTATCTGGAACAACATGACAGTGACGCTAATGCTAAAAACCTGGCCGCCAAGGCCTTTCTGTAAGCCTGTGCCCAAGTCAAGTCAGGTTTATTTTCCAAGCCATTTCATAGAGCTTTACATGAGATAAACATAATATGATAGTTTTCAATCATGACTATTTATAAAACATTTTGTCAAATGCCATCATCAAAATCATCAAGCATAATCATCAACGACTATAAATCAAATATATTGATCAGAAAATCTTTGGGAACCACTGGCTTAAAAGCTCGGTGATTCAGCTGTTTTGCTGGTTGAGTCTCCAAGACGATTGTTAAAATCATGTAGCAAAGGATCACAAGCTAAAAGACCAAAACATAAGAACAACTTTCTAAGCCTAAAGGAATAAATAAAATTCAGACAATACCTTCTAGGGAAAACAATTTCCAAAAGTGCTTTATGTCTAAAACTTATCAGCTCAGTGAACGGGCTTGAATTTGGCTGCATGCTTCAGATTTGAGGTCATCAGACCAAAACAGTAAGCTTTTCTTTTGTTGCATGCGTTTTTTCTCTGCTCATCGCTTTTTCTGTGCTCTGAGTTCACCTTAACCGGACGAGGCAGATGGCCGCTCCTGCTGAGCCTGGGCCTGCCAAAGGGTGCTTCCTCTTAAAAGGAACCATATCCTACCTACTGATGCCAAACGCCGCATAGGGAGAAGGAGATTTTCAGGTTTCTCCTGGTCTAATTTTAACCATGCAGCCATAAAATCGGGTGCTGTGTAGGTTATTGTATTGTGTAAATTAAAAATATGTCAATTAAAAAACAAAACTATTTGCTGCTTCTATTAAATCATGTGTGAGTCGTTGATTTTAAAGGTTTGGAGCTGAAGGTATGACATTTGTTCACCCTGGGATTGCAGCGTTCGAAAAGCAACTCTTCATCACAGCGTGACAATGCAAGTAATTAACAGGAATCCATCTTTTGCACCAGAGCATTTAGCTAATTATACAAAATAGCCTGAGGGAAGGTGATAAAGTATGTGCAGTCATTTTAAGCTTCAATCTTTCATTCCCATTTTAAAATAAGCCTTTTTTTCTGACAGCAATGTTAGCATGTCTTTTGATATAAACTAATTTAAAGACTTTGTTTTTATTTTACCACTGAGTGAGATTGTATAGATTGTCTTGTAATAATCTAGAATAATAGAATTTCTAGTTTGCAGATGTCCCTTGAAGAGATATTTCTCCAAACTGTAATATTTCTCTAAATATCACAGTTTCTCCAAATATAAATATGGTCTTATACACTAGACCATATTTACTTTGTTTGACTGAAGCTGCCTATTTTCCATTAGGGAGCTTCAGTCACTGGTGTCAAAACTTAACTGCACTTTAGGTGAAGAAATTAATACTGTCAATAAATAATCAAATTTTTACATTTTAACATTTTGAAACCCCAAAGTCCAACTTATTTAAGTGTCATTTTAAGTGATAGACCAACACAAAGTTGTACTCTGAAGTGGGAGAAACTAAATAAATTGCTTTCTAAAATTTTTGCTAGCAAAAATGACTAACAATTATAACATGAATAAGTATGTGCAAAACTTTGAGGTGCATGACAGATTTGCAAAGCACCAACTCAGTGTTTCCTACTGTGGCGCAGTTTATCTGATTCTCTGGTAAAAACAGAAAATGGTTTTACCAGAACAAAACATGACGCGTTTGTAGACGACAACACGTTCCTGGTGAAAAAAACACAAACAAAATAAGTAAAACTGAAAAAAGTGAACCTGGGCAGCCTGAACTCCCCCACATCCCAAGAGATGCAACTCAGAAACAATCAATAGAGGAGAGCGAGCATCAGAGACTCCACTCACTGCGAGGCCCTGACACGGACCTCCACTGCGGTGACTAATCTAATTGGAGACGACTCAGACTCCCTGACTGCTAAAGAACAAGGGAAGACAGACATGCCTTCTTTAATCAATAAATATCTACAGATTACTGCATATTATCTTCTTTATTCATACAGCCACTCTATCTAAAAATAGAAAAGTCAAGTCAGCATGCACGTTTTATGATTTTTCATCACATTACAGAGAAAAACTGTTTTTTTTTTTTTCTGTTCACTGAAGACTAAAAGCCCAGTCATTTAGAGGTTGTTGTCCTCACGTCTGTTAAACTGGGCTTAGACTGTGTGGAAAGTATGACATTATGAAGCCCACATGCTCTCCATGAGGCTCAGCGACAGATTTACATTTAGAAATATGACTCAGGGAAGGCAGTGCAGGGGTTGTTTGACTGAGGCTGAACAGGAGACATCAGCTGTGCCAAAAGTCTGTTATTTAAAGCTCCGAAAGTTTGGAAATCATGTTATAAACAAACATATTTACTACTACTGAACCCTGATACTTGTCTGGCGTGGAGATTGAGAAGCTGTTGCATCAAGTAGACAGCGTTAATTACTCAAGCATGAATTATTTAGCCTCTAAACGATTGAGGGAAATAAAAATGCCCGCAGTCGATAGTTGCTAACACTTGAGAGGACTTTGGACTCCCTGTGGGGGGATTCCACAGTCAGTGATGGGTTTCATCTTATACACTAGACCAGAAAATGATACCACAGCTAAATCTTTAGCTGGCATGCTGAATCAGCACCCAAGGTCCCTGAATGCATCATTGTCTGGAGTATTGACTGACCATATTGAATGATTGGTAGAGGGTGTGAGGGCAACAGGTAGAAAGACCTGTGAAAAACATAGATAGTGAAAAACATTAGACAGTTTGGGGGTAAGTTCAACTTTGAGTGCTTTAAATAATGTAAATAATTAGCATTATACCTTATTGTTAATGCCTTACATATTGTTCTCTGAAATGGGCAAATAAATTAAGAATAGTGGGGGACAAACCTGCGACAGACTGCCGACCTGTCCAGGGTGAACTCTGACCCCAATAGGGACAAGGGTGAACAGAAAATAAATAAATAAAATAATAAATAAATAAATATGGATGGATGGATGGATGGATGGATGGATGGATGGATGGATGGATGGATGGATGGATGGATGGATGGATGGATGGATGGATGGATGGATGGATGGATGGATGGATGGATGGATGGATGGATGGATGGGTTACAGACCTGATGCTATTGTCTGCACTTCAGTTTGGTTGAATTTAGATAAATTATGCGAATCATACACTGAAAGCATGACAGACAGAGCAACAGTATATCCTAAACTTCACTGATTTAGTTCAGTTATCCAACCTCATCTAACAAGAGATGTGGCGCCACCTTGTGGTAAGTCCTTCAAAGTACATTTTTTAAATTCCTCACTTGGCTTTATGCATGAGAGATGTTTAAATTTTAGGTTTTTCTAAAGAGATTGCAGCATTTACACTTCATTCCCATTTCCTTGGGAGAATATAAACATTCCAGGAAAAAGAAAACAACATTGGAAAAAGAAAATAAATAAATAAAGTCCTCCTCAATTTATGCCTGGACCTCAATGAAGTTTGTGAAGTAGATTTTTCTTTAAAGAGAAAATCTTTTATTTGCATCATACAGTGTAGCATAGTCGAGATGTTTTTTCGTGCAGCTGCAGAGAGCGTACAAACTAATTGAACAAGATGTGTCTGTTGAAGTTTCCCAGACGGGTTATCTGGGAACTTGCAGTTTTTCCCATGGCCTTCCTAGCATGGAGATAAAGTGTTTAGTTTTCCATCCCGTAGACATGATAGTGAATGAGCGTACAAGGTTGAACTGTTCCGTCTGTTTTCCTTTCTTTCTTTTGTTTGGTCTTAGAAGATTGAGCCTCCGCCTCTGTTAGCAGAGAGTGGTGAATAAAGCAACTATGCAACAGTTTGTTAGAGCAGAATGATTTTCGCCTAATGCAGTGTATTTTTGCTCTCCGTCTGCAGATGTATTAAAGATTGTTTTTGCTCCCTGACTTTTGTCTGGACCTCAGTCTCTGAAATGTGCACTTCACAAGTTATATTTATTCAACGCAAAACAGTTTTTTTCTTCCACATTCAAATATGTCACCATGGTATAGTAATAGTATAGTATAATCAGTATGAAAACAAATGCAATTAATAAAAACACTTTATTACACATAATTTTAGTTTCTTAAAACTCATGTGGCTTTTTTCATCCAAATCATGTATTAGTGACAAATACATATAAAGCAATTTGTAAATTTGTACTATATTTATCCTTTATTTTTCATTATTTACACAGATTTTTTTCTCTAAACTGTTCAACATTGAGGCATTTTTGTGGTCCAGCAATTCAGGATAAAATACAAAGAAAAAATGAAGGAAACAAAGGGTTAATTTTCTTCCATAAGCAAAGCAAAATCATGACAGTTTCACAAGAACCCTGCAACCTTTTCACTCTGCCTGCCCTGACTGGCTTGTAGCTCAACATTGTTTCATTGTCATTATTTGTTAGCAAACACACTTGATACAAAGTGGGAAGAACTGTCATTTTTCGTTCACATGGATATTGACTCAGCCAGGAAGATTGTTTTTCTTTTTCGCTGAACAAGAAGGCATCAAACTGCGAGTGCAAGTGTGCAAACACGGAGTTGTACTTTGGAGCCATGGCTCATAGTGTTTCTGTTGGATTTATGCTAAAAGTTAGGATGGCACGAGTTTTTCTGGCTTTGCTGCTTTTAGACTTTCACTTTGGCTCAGCAGGTATTAAATAACTTTCTATATATTTTTTAAAAGTGGTAATAAGAAGATTCAGCCTGTGTATCGTGCTTTATATCTAGCCCCAAACACTGTGCTCCTCTCTGAGAAGACAGCTGACAGCTTCCTCAGGAGGCACAAACGTTGGAACACTGGGATATTCGAGGAGTTTTTGGAGGGAAACTTGGAAAGAGAATGTATAGAAGAGAAATGTAACCTGGAAGAAGCCAGGGAGATATTTGAGAATGATGAAAAGACTGTGAGTATTTAATCATTGTATTTGGAACAAATTATCACAGTTTGGTGCCCTGGTCATGACTTACTCTGTGTTTTTAGATGGCTTTTTGGTCAAGATATGAAGGTAAGGAATCTTTTAAGTTCAATAATTTAGGAAGAAGAAAGTGCTTATTTCAGGATAACATGGATGACAAAAAGTTAAAATCCTGTGTTTGACTTTCTTCAGGTGGCAATCAGTGCTCGTCGAGCCCATGTCTGAACCAGGGGTCATGCAAAGACCATCTGGGCTACTACATCTGCACATGTGTGTCTGGCTTCACTGGCACAAACTGTGAGATCGGTCAGTGCATTTTTCTTTAGCTGGACTCAAGGTTTTTGTTGTTGTTTTTTTGAAACCTAAGAAAATTAGATTTTCTCTGGCATACAACCCAAATTTGTTTACAGCAAGGTATCAGTGTCAAAGAATGAAGAAACAATTTCTCTTGTTTCTAAATTGTTTCTAAATTGAATTTGTGACTCATATTGAGCATCGGTCTGGCTTTAGGTTACAGTATTGGATTGTTTGTCTTTCTCAATGTTCTGAAAACTACGACTGAATGTTTTGTGGGCTGCGGTCAAACTGAAAAGGTTTTGTTCCTTTGCAGCATGAAAGGCGGCAAAATTTATGGAAAATTAATGCCATACCTCTCAGACATTTTTAAAGGATTTAGTGCCAGGTCTTTGAAGGAAGTGTAAGAGGAAAATCTTAATCCCGGTTCTTCTTTTCTTGTCTACGCAGTCTTACAGAAAAGATGCGACGTAAACAATGGAGACTGCAAGCATTTCTGTCACGCGATAGGAACCTTTGGGGCAAAATGCTTCTGCGCGACAGGATATGAGTTGATGTCAGATGGGGTCAGCTGTGAAGCAACAGGTTTGGATTTAAACAGCTAAATATCATAAAAAAGTAGAATTGGTTCTTATTAAAACCTCTTTCCTTCCTTTACCAGTTGAATTCCCCTGTGGGAAAACTGGACTAACCATTGGGAAGCCAGTTATAAGGTCTTTCTACAACCCGGAGCTTTCAGACCACCTGAACGCCACGACTCCAACCAACATGACGCCAACAGCAGCAGCCAGCACCACAGAGCCAGATCTGGATTCGTATTATGACTTTGGTCAGAATCAGTCTCTTAGTGACCTGCTTTTATGGGAATCCAATCTCTCAGAAAACATCTCTTTGGAGCCAAAAACACCTTTCAAACGTATAGTTGGTGGGAGGTCAGTCGCTCCAGGAGAGATTCCCTGGCAGGTATCGTTTAGACGCACGGATAACATTGTGGAATCCTGCACAAAACTCTGTTTCTATCCCCCAGTCTGTTCATCAGTTTTATTTTTCCAGGTTGGACTGATAGCAAAACCCAGTGGTCAGTTATTCTGTGGGGGCTCCATCCTCTCAGAGCGCTGGGTCATCACTGCTGCTCATTGTCTGAAGGAGGTGCCCGGCTCTTTCTCGGTCAGAGTGGGTAAGAATCGCAGGCGGCACACTGAGCTACTTTTTAAAGCTAAATATCTGCAACAATACAGCCGTTTTCATTCCCTTTTCTTCCCGGATGAATTAACTTACTCAATTTTAAATGGGAGTTTCTGGTGAGATTCTTTGCAACAAAATAATTTATTTAGTGGCTTTTTTTTTCAGGTGGGCAGAAATTGTAAAAGCCGCTATACGTGCAGAACAAATTAATTTATTTTTCTATTTATTGCTGTCAATTGTTCTTCATATGATTTCTATTCAAGAGCACAATTTGTATTTGCTTAATTCATATCAAATTTCTCTGCTAACAGGGGAGCATAATACTCAAATCACAGAGGGCCGAGAGCAAGACTATGAGGTGTTGGAGGAACACACACACCCACGCTACAACGCAACCTTAAACATGTACAACCACGACATCGCCTTGCTCTACCTCAAAGACCCCATCAGCTTCTCAGCAACGGTCCGACCGATCTGCATCGGGCCCCTGGCTTTCATCGAGGCCTTGGTGAAGCAACCTTCCCCGGCTACGGTGAGCGGCTGGGGCCGCACTCGCTTCCTGGGGTTCACTTCCAACATTCTGCAGAAGGTCGAGGTTCCCTTCATAGATCAGACTGAGTGTAAAGACAGCAGCAGCCAAAGGATCACTCCAGTCATGTTCTGCGCTGGATTCTACAATGTGGCCAAAGATGCCTGTCAGGGCGACAGTGGAGGTCCTCACGCAAAGAGCTACCGTGACACTTGGTTCCTGACGGGGATTGTGAGTTGGGGGGAGGAATGTGCAAAAGAAGGGAAGTACGGCGTGTACACCCGGGTTTCTGTTTACTACAGCTGGATAAAGTATGTGATGAGTGTAACTAAACGCAGGCTGGCTTCAGATGTGGAATACCCAGACTCATGACTCTGCATGGATGTTGATATACAGCACAGGCCACATTTTTGGCACATTGATTAGCAAATCACCTTAAGATAAATCAATATTTCATGACAGCAGCATAGGATGACACTGAAAAAACATTTGGAAGAATCCAACTTAAATTTCTTTCAGTGAGATAAAAGTACAAGACGAACCATTTTCATAACTTTGCCGTTAACACCATACCAAAAAATTCTTTATGCAATTCAAAAAGCACTTAGTCGTGTCCTAAAAGGTTTTTGTATTCTCTTTTATACTCTCTCTTTACATCATGTGTCGAACTCCAGTTCTCAACTGTGGAGTTTGACATCTATGCTTTAATATTCTACAGTCCTCTCTTTAGATCACCTCTCAGAGTTTGTAACAGATTCTGGACTGAGACGGTCTTGGAAGAATATTGAATGCGTTTCTGGTCAATCATTTGTGTTCTGTGTTTTGGTGTAAGGACTCAATAATGATGCTTTTTAAAACAGTTTGTGATGCCGGTGCCATGAACTCTAAAGGGTTCCCTCAGAATTTGGATGAAAAAGAGACCCAATGCATGACAGATCCTCCACCGTACTTTTTAATGTAATTGTCATTTGCTTCACTCCATGCCAGGAATCTGCTACAGAAGAAACATTTTACAAAACTTTTAACATTTCTCTTTATTTAAAAATCTTAGAAGAAATACAAATTTTGGTTCTTTAATAGTAGTTTTTGTTAGATATTTAAAATATCTCTAAGTGAGCCTTATATCATTATGAAGGCATAACTAACTCTTTGGAGTGTAAAAGTTGCAGATCCATGTTCTAGATCCAGCTGGAGTGTTTGTTGTCAAAAACTCAAAAATAATCATGTTTCCAATTAAAGTTTACATTCACAACAGTGTGAGGGGGAAGTTTCTTTTTTCTGGCATCTATCACAATCAACCAGTTGAGTTGGTGGCATCAAGGTGTTTCTTTTCTACGCTTCTCTAAAGACCTATAAGGACAAAAACATGAGTAAGTTTTAGAATAAATAAACTGCTACAGCTAAATATATTCTTTATATAACAGTAAAGAAGCAAGACCATCAAATAGAAACCACCAGCCTACTGAAAAGAAAAACCTTTCAAGGCCAAAGCTTCAGACACTTTCCAAACAATTTAAAAATTATCCAGGATATTTATTATTTATATGTTCTTTTCTGAAACAAGAATACAGACATATTAGTTTACATCCACTGTGTTAACAAAGAAATTTAGCTACCCTAAAAACTGTTATTGCAGTGTATATGTTAATATTATCAGATTATTTTTAAAAGAACCAGGTATTTTAAAAAAGAAAATTAAATAAAATGTCCGACTGCCATGCATTTTCAGTATAAAAACAAATGTTCAGCAACAAGCGTGTGTTACATGGCTCAGCAGGATTCAAGCAACTTTTTTGCCTTCTGTAGTGACATCTGTGCTGATTGTGCAGCATTTTGGATAAAAAAAAAGACAAAAAAACAGGGAAACCATCTTGATATTGTCACATCACTTTAACTAGATGTTTAAATAGTTATGCATAGCTTCTTTGAACATATGAAAGTGTGATTTCCTTAGGGACTTAACAGATACTTCACAATATGAAAGGAAAATTTAAAAAGGTGCTAGGTGTGCAGCAGTCACTGGACTCTTTTCCATTCCAACAGCAGCCTATCACAGCCACTCAATTTGATGTGATAAATTGTATGAGTCTGTAATCAATATTTAATTAAGTGTTCAACAAAAACCATATAAATTTCATGTTGGCTCTAAGGGATCCCTTTTAACGGGGAAGAAAAGAGTTACTGAGCTATAATGCTGGGAGAGGATTCATTTCTCTTCTGTTGATTGAGCTCAGCATCGTTTTCTCTCACCCCTCCTCCACCCTTCTTATCTGTGCTGCGAATGACAGTCACCTCTCAGGAAATCTTCAGTAAGATGACGGCATCTTGTCCTCGGCTACCCTCCAGGGAATATATTACCTTTGGTCTCTATTATGTTAATCAGTGTTTTATAATATCATCCTGTAAGTGCCAACTGCTGCCATCCATGCAGGGGGGGTAATGTCTCCCCTGCATCTCCAATACCTCAAATATTTAGGGATAAACAAGGAAGCACAGCAAGAACAACGGAAACACAGTGAAAGAGGTAAAGCAGCAAGCAAAGAGCACATTCAGTAGAGAGCAGGTGGACTTGTAGTTAAAGGCCAAAGATCAACAAATTTTATGGATGGAATACCTAAAAATGTTGAAAGAATGACAAAAATAAATCACAGTGAGCTTTTACATTGGTTTTCCAATGGGATACATACATTTAAAACACTTTTATGAAAAACAGTAGTTTAAAACATCTGGAAGCATTTCTGCTTCGATACAATTTGCTAAGGTTTGCTAAGTCTCCAAGTTAGAAACTCCCAGACAACATCTCACCCTATTTCTTCCTCATAATTTCACAAATCGGCATACAGATCTTCACTTTATGAACTCACATTCCAGCTTGAGACATTACTTTCTCCACTTTCCCTTTGGGTGGTCATTATGTCATGCAGTGTCACCTGTCTTTGGCATTAAACCATAGCATCATCCATCTTCAGCAACTCTTAATTGGATTCTTAATTTGGTTTTGCTTTTCTTTCATAGTTCTCAATTTGAGAGAATAATATCTATCATGAGCTACAAGCCTAAATGCAATAAATGGCCTTGAAACATAACAAAGCCACCTTTTTAAAGTGCCTGATGATATTTTGTGAGGTCAGTTAGAACCAAGAAAAAGTACATACAAAGACTTTTAAAGAGCAGGAATAAAAAGGCAATAAGGCATGGCACATTTTGGCATTTAAACTCTTAACTGTACAGAAGGATGGCAACATGAGGAAAAAAGAATATTTTACACAGACATGAACATGAAATTCATTAAAAGTTTTTTAAAAAAGGATGCAATTTGTAAAACAGTTTAAGGATTAAATCCTGGCTTTCATCCTCTCGAAACAAAGCAGAGCGACAAGCTTTTAGAAACAACCTCCAGTATTTGCTGGGAAACACTGAGTCCACAGTTTGTGAAATGAGACACTGCTGCAGTGGCAAACTCACATTCTGACTGCATATGTTGCAGAGGAAGCGCCAGAAGAAGAAGAGTTATCATCCATAAAAAAGTGGGAAGAACATGAGTCAGGTCAGCTGTTGATTGTCCAGAAGGGCTTTAACTGCTCCTGTGATCGCTACAGTGATCTTTGCCATCAGAAAACGTCTGTTCAGGAGGTCAAAAATAAAAACCGAGGGAGGAAATTGTCTCTTTTGATTCTGCTTCTTCTTTTAAAGAACTGAAGTGTGCTGAAGGAAGCAGCCACTATGAGGAGAGGAGATATTGGCAGCCTCAGTTATGAGACAGCAATGACTCAGTCTGCTCCACCTCTGCTCATCATCCAGCATGAGATTCATCCTCTGTTCTTTGTTCTCTATGGGGAGCTCAGCTTTCTCACCTTTAGGTTCCCAGGGTCTGCAAAAATAAAGCGCGGGTTTTGTAAAGAAGAAATCAAAATAAAATGACTCAACAAAGAAGATAATGTTTTTTTTTACCTCCCAGTCTGGGACAGGGCTCGTGGCTGCTGCTTCCTATAATGAGCTGCAGGCTGGCAGCTGCTATGAAGCCCTCCTGCTGCCGACTCAGATTTTTCACAAGCCTTTCCACCACCATGATGAATGGGGGAATTGTTTTGAGAAATAGGATGAATGAACATACAGTGCATTCTGTGTAGTTTCATTGTTTTTAGAGGCTTTTTAAGCCTAGTTTATTGAACATTCCAGTGAGGCTCACCAGCGCCCCCTGTTGTCTTCACATTGTAGATGGATGACATCTCCACGTTTGATGATGATGCTGCCTGGTCCGTTTTGGGGACAGTCAGCCAAAACTCTGTATTTGCCTGGAGTCTAAAACAGATTTCAAAAAAGCTAGTGACACACAAAAAACTAATTCAACGGAAAATTGTATGGTTTTAAAAGAGACATGATAACGGGCCGTGCAGCACAGATTCACAGTTCAGATGTTGACTGGATCACTATTAGTTGTGCACTCTATAAATCTGGCATTTATTGAAGAGTGGTTACAAAAAAAACCTGTTGTTAAAAAAAAAGCAATAAAACTTTTTGAAATTAATTAGCAAATAAAGAAAACATCTGGAAGTAGGTGCTGGGGTTTTGAAAATGCCATTTTTGGGCCTATAAAAACATTTTGTTTGGTGAGAAAGTGAACCACATCTCCCTGAACACATCTCCATGGTGAAATATGATTGTTGGTTTTTCCTGCAATATTTGCATCACATTTCTGCAGAAAATGACACTGAAAGTACCAGAAGAAAATAATTAAACCTGTTGTTGAATCTATGTGCCTTTCACATTGTTTTCCATCCTACAGATGAAAAAAAAAACATCTGTCCTCTTTTTGCTAAATTTTATGTTTATCTTTCAATTAATTCAGAAAAAAATACAGGCAAAATGTTGGTTCTTAAAAGAATGACAGCAACTTGTCTAGAGTAGATATTTATCTAAAATCCTAAGTCGCCTTTTTTCAAAGAAATATTTTGACATATGTGGTGCTAAACAAGTTTAAATTGGCTGACCAAAGAATGGAAATGGCACTTCAGGATATAAGGGTTGCAGATTATGTATTACTGCACAACATCCTGAGCAAAGGATGTTGATATGTTAGAGTAGCCTAGCCAAAGTCCAAACCCTAATCCTACTTACAACCTGAATGAACTTAAATTGTCTCGCAACGAAGAATGGAAAATCTCAAAATCTTCAGATATTGCATACATTCCTGCAAAACGTGGTTCAAATACACTTTTAAAAATGCTGAATGTAAAAGAACTTCAAGAACCATGCATCATGCATGTGCTGTATTGCATTTGTCCATCACATCAGGGGAGTAAATGCCTTGGCAAGACAAAGTAAACTGGAATTTACTTTTTTTTTGTTCCCTTACCAGTTTGACCATGTTTTTCTCCTCCGTCTCAGATGGGAGGAAGGCGTCCTGATCTCCAGGCCACTCCTCCAGACCCTCGCAGATGTCTACCGAGTGATGAGCTCCGGGCCAACCTGGAGACAGACGTTCTGCTAAAGCTTCTCAAAAAGCCTTTTGTTTCTGGAGTACACCATAACCAGCACCATGTAGACACTTAGTAACTATGTTGACATTAAAACTTACTGGGACATTAAAAAGAATGTAGAATCAAAAGCTAATCTCAGTAGCTTTTTCCCACAAAGTCCTCGATGTACCTGGTTCTTCAGGTCAAAGTACACCTGAACTGCTGAGGATGAAAAGTCAAATATCTAAATTAGTTTATGGCGGTGGGGAAAATCAGCACTGCAGCAGTGTGCAAAGCAAATATGTTGGGCATCAGCTCCCCTAAAATTGATTTCTATGATTTTGTTACTAAGTATCTACTTGATTATAAAACATGAATGTTGCAGCAAAGACATTTTACTCACTCCGACGGTTTGGCTGGTGTTTAGGGGAGTGAGACTGGGGCTCTGGACTGCTCCTCCCTGACTCAGTGTCCTCTGAGCTCACCGACGCCCTCTGCTGTTTGCTATAAAAACAAAAAAACAAAACAAAACAAAAAAAAAAACAGTTTTACATCACAGTCATGTTCAGGATAAATGTCTTCCTCAGGGGTTAGCTTTATAATAGATAATTGTCAATAACAGCTCTGTTCTCATGTTTTCACACAGCCACAACCAAATATGCACCAGCCAGGTTACACAGAGCCTACACAGCCATTTGTAAGCCTCCCAGTTCAATGCAGGAAACAAAATGTACAGATCTTTAACAAGGTCATCCCTGAGGATTCATGTGTTCACAGCTGAGATCTGGTCTCAAT